GGAATATGGGATAGGAATACCTGGATGGATGCTTCTGAGGATGCTGGTTGTACAGCTGCCTTCCCTAGTAATAACTAGCAATTTTGTCAGGCTGGAAAACACTAGAAAATTCTCTTCTCTCTGAGGCAGCAGGTACTCTCCTCACAACCTGTCCCACTTCATCCATTAGTTGCCAGACTGATAATAGAGTTTAATCAAAGTATAACCCAACTAAGCCTGATAAAAGAAAAAATATATTGCACACTTGAAACAGTTGCAAGAATTAGCTAGCATTTACTGGCAGGAGCCATGGGAGTATGACCAGATTCAGAGTTTTATGGTATTTGATCAAGGGAAATGAAACATAAGACTAAATAAACAAAAGAATCATTGATTTGGGTACATATCTAGAGGAGCACAGGAGATTTAAAACCCTACTCAGGAATCCAGGGAATGAGGCAAACCTGTTGCTAGAGTAACACATAGCAGCCTGAAAAATGCCATGGCCAATACAAAGTGAAATTGAAGTGCCTGAATTGCTCTGGCATGTTGAAGATAAAGGAATAAAAAAGTCAAGAGAAAGGAATATGCTGGAGTGGCTCAAATTATATAAAGCTAAAAGTACCATCAGAAGGACATGTTCCATGGGAGGGCCCAGAGAATACACCATTCACTGAGGTCACTAGGAATATGCTGATCAGAGGGGCACAGGCATTATAAAGAAGTTTAGAGTTTGGTTTCTACTACATACCAGGGCTGAAAATAGGACAGACACAGGCTAGGTCTGTTAATAGCCATAAAGTGATGGGGGGGGGGGGCAAAGTAATAGAAGACAGGTATCAGGGCTTAACTGCAAAAACCTAGAAGCCACAATTACCATAATTAGATGAACAAGATTGGAGGATCTGCCAAGGGGTTGACCCACAAAGAGCTGTAGGGATGATTAATAAAGCATAGTATCCTGAAGGGCAAAATAGGTGGGCAGAGTATTTTGGTATTTTAAGTAATAATATATGAACAGGAAGCTAAAGGTGGTAGTCATGATCCTCTGCTCAGTTCACAGACTTGGGCTAATTTTCAAATCCAGAACCCACTGATTAAAGAGGTGGCTGAGTTCATAGAGGGGAGGACCCTAAAACATCTTGTAGATGTTTTAGATAAAGTAGATAAAATGATCCCTGAAGAGACCTACACCATATGCATGAGTATTTATACAGGTATATATATGGGGACATACACAGTGCAAGGGCAATAAGCACATTCTGAGTACTACTGGACATGAGGTTAGAGGTGGCATAGATACCCAAGGACTCAATATGTCAATGGGGTCCCTTTTTAGAGTTGGGATATCTGGCGCATGGGGGAGGCAGTGTGGCAGATAAATTCTGACTAAATTCTGGCTCACAGTGCACCAACTATGTCTATGGATCCACCCAGTGGTCATTTCTCCAGTCACTGAGTTTATAATTAAAATTAATGTACAAGATAGTTGGAGTAACCCATACATTGTGCTCCTGGCTTATAGAGTAAGATCAGTCACAGTGGGAAAGACCAAGTAGTAACCTCTGAAAATGCCCCCATGTGGACAAGGTAGTAAATAAAAGATATCATGTCATCTCAGTGGTATAGTGAAAATTAGCACAACCATTAAAAACCTAGAAGGTACAGGGGCAGTGGTCTCTACTATGTCTTCATTTAGTTTATTTCTTTAAAATAAATAATTCAGACTTTTCTGACTCAGACACACTTAATTTTCTATTTTATGTACCAGAAAAAGGAAGAGATTCTTTAAAAAATAATTTCTTTCAGTTTTCTAATCATTTACTATGTTATTTTATACACTCTAACAACAACAAAAGTCCTTAAATTCAATATATGAACAAACAGATTTAGAAAAGCTAGGTGATTGCAATAGTTTGGATATTTGACCCTCCAAACTTCATGTTGAAGTTCGATTCCAAATGTTGGAGGTGGGGCCTAATGGGAGGTGTTTGGGTCATGGGGGGTTGAGAGGAAAAGAGGGACAGATCTCTCAAGAATGGCTTGGTGCCCTCCTTGTGGTAATTAGGGAATTCTTCCTCTATTAGTTACCAAGAGAGCTAGTTGTTTAAAAGAATCTGGCATCTCCCTCCTTTCTCTCTTCCTCCTTTCTTGCTATGTGGTCTCTGCACATACCAGCTTCCCTTCCCTTTTTGTAATGAGGGGAAAGAACTTGAGGCCCTCACAAAATGCAGATGTTGGCACCATGCTTCTTGAACAGCCTGCAGAACCGTAAATCAAATAAATCTCTTTTCATTATAAATTACCCAGACTCAGGTATTCCTTTATAGCAACATAAATGGACCAAGACAGTGGTTTACTTGAGATGACACAAAAAGCTAAGATCAGAGCCATAGCCATGTCTACAAAAAATCTTCCTAGTACTGGCCCAACTATATTTACCACCAGAACTATACACAATATACAGTTAAAAAACTGACACAGAGTTGGAGAATTAGCCACCATGGAGCTATGGCTAAACTGAAAAGCTGACACATTCACCTCTGCTATCCCAATGACTTCATTAGAAACAGCAATAGCAGCAATAATGGCCTCATTGAAGGGTATCCATAAATGTTAACCTATTTAAAAAATCTTTTATAATTTAGCAGTGGTCTTACAAAAATTAATAATTAATAAACTTCAAAATATTCAATCCATGTTTTTTTAACAATGAGATGATTTTTAAATAATCTAATTTACATTTCACTACTGGAAGAAATTTAAATGACAAAAAACCTATCAAATATATTTTATCTCACACAATGATTAGAATATTTTATTTAACACTGCCCATGATGACAACCTAGAAAATAGGATCATCTCTAAGACGTGGTACATATTAATACTAGCTTTCTTTTACTTAATAAAAGAGCTATTGAATTTAAATATGCATACAAATTCAAAAGCTTAAAAGACACCCTAAACATTTAAATAATTTACATATATATTCAGCTTTGTGAATTTTTACACATAATTGAACTTTTCAGTGAATTTCCATCCACACGATTCTTCATCAAAAAATTGTTTCATTTTTAATGCATTAAATAATGCTCATTCAATTGTACCTTCTAGTACTTTCTAAAAACATACTGTAACTTTGGTAATAGCCTTAAAATTCATTTATATTCTGAAGTACAAAGTCATAAAACATTATATGTACTTAAGGTATTTCCTCCAATTTCATTTTTAAGGAACAAATTTAAAATATGATTATACTTTCTACACATATCAGTGATAAATACATTTATAGCATTAAATTATAGAAATTATAATTTTTAAGAGACATAGACAAACATGATTGTTTTCAGAGCAAAGTGACTAACATGACAAAGGCTTTGACAAAAGTAGATAAATGTACAGGGAATGTGTAAATTAGAGAACAGAGTTTAAAAATCTTCAGGGCTGGAAATTGAAATGAGGCATTAGAATTGTTATGTCCAGGCCCATATGGATAAATTAGGAGAGATACCATAGGGAGACAGATTTAAGCTCAATGATAAAAAGAACAATTGGTTATGGGATGAAAGAAAATGCTATCTTAGGAACTTGTGAGTTTCCTGTCATTAAAGGCATTCAGGCATAAACTAGATCAGGGTTAGGCAAATTATGTCCACAGGCTGAATCCAACTCACCAGATGTTTTTATAATAAGGTATTATTGAAACACAGCCACTCCCAGTTGTTGCCATATTGGCTCTGGTTGCTTTAGCACCATAGCTTAAGAGCTATGTATATTTGCCACAAAACCATAGAACAATAACCATAGAGCACACAAGTCCTGAAATATTTAAAAACTGGTCCTTAACAGAAAATGTTTACAGATTCATATGGAGAAGGTCTTAGGAATTCAAGTATTCTATGTGTGTCTGGACAAGACAACCAACAAGACAATGTTTACTTGGTGTTTAGGAAAGTGCCTGACACATCATATTTATCAAGGATTGAGTTGTACAGGTTTTTATTGTATAAGTATGCCCAACCAGGTGGGTGAATGTTGTTCAAAATTCATACAGAGCTCTGTTTTCAAAGTTGTGTGCCATGATGTGGGGCTATGTTTACCAGAAGGAGTAGTCACATTTGTGTAATTTGCTCAAAGGTACCAAAGGACCAGCATAAACTGTACACATCCATAACAATGTTAGCAAAAAATAATCTCTTTCAATCCAGAAGATCTCAGATTCCACAATGCAGATAATCTATCACTGAAACTAAGCTTTTTTTTTACCCCTAACCCAGTGTTTCTTTATACATCCCAAAGAAGTGAAATAAATATTCTCTAAAAAGAGTTTTCATGTTTTGAGAAATGCTATAAACTCTATTCTCTCTTTTAGAAAGATACATTGCAAATTAGCATGTTAAAAACTCTTAAATAATTTCTGTAGAAAACTAACCAAAATAACCCTATTTAACTTTAGTATACATAGCATTTTCAAAAGTTGTTTAATTATAGAACTCTTTAATATGATCCTATTATTAATATCTCACATAACTAATGTTCTGGGAAATTATGCTTTATTCAAAATCATATATAGTACTTCCAGACTGCAAATTCTTTCAGGATAGCAAATACATACTTTTTCTCATTCAACACAGACTTTAGCAAGTTGCTAAGCACATATGATAATTACCTAAGAAAGAATTGATTTAATTCTTGTAGATGTAACTAATCCATGAGATACACGCATTGTTAATTTCATTAATTAAAGCAGGCTTTTATTGTTTATGTAGCAGGATGACAAAGAGTTATTCTCTTTCCACTGTACCCATTAGCTATTACATAGTATAATAGTCAAATAATCTTAGACAAGTACATTTCAGATATGTTCTTTCTCTCTGTGGTCTATGTTTAAGCACATAAAACTATTCAAGGCATGATACATGATATTTTAAGGTGAAATAATTGCTAATTATCTAACAGATTGACAGGACATGTATCAGAATATAGGCTTTAAAAATTCAAAGTTGATAGAAGTAAATTACCTGAAGAAGGTGACAAAAAACTGCACAAGATCCATGATTGTATTGTGTTGTGAGAATGCAATCTGAAAAATCAAAATAAAAAAAATTTGAAACTTACTAAATGTATGTTCTTCTCTAAAACCTGAGGTGAGGTGATGCTTCATGGTATTTGTAAATACAATATTTCTACATCATAAAGACATTTGGATCACCATATTAGAAATCAAATATATGATGGAATTAAAACTGTATCTAGAATACCTAATATATTCAAATACTAATGATGGTCTTATATAAACTAGGAAATTACATGGTTAAAAAGCTATTAAAATATTACTTCAATAGTGTATGCTGAGAGTTTAATGTAAAATGCTATGACAGATTAAATGTGCCGAACTAAAACATGCAAATTAGTTTCTTCATCTATTAATGATTATATTTTTGATTAATACAGTTGATAATTGCTTATAAACCAAAAATATAAATTTCAACTCCATTAAGGAAACTGGGGAATTTTTTTCCTATATATCCTTATCTAGGGAAACTGCATGCATACATACAAATATTTGGTTATACATTATTCAAAGAGTAAAATATGTTACATCATTTTATAACTTCATGTTAATGAGAAATTAGTTTTGAAAAGTGAAACTAGCTAATAAGTTAAAGTTGTTCCCAATTTCTGTTAACATTACAGAAATCATACTGTAACACCTTCTTGAGGAAATATTTTATAGTGTATTAGTCAATAATGTACTCTCTAAATAGAGAATAACTGATTTTAAAATGCAGCTTATTATTTACTTGCCCTGTATATTTTGATCACCTAATCTATTTGTGTATCAGTTTTCCCATATGTGAATGAAAATAATAAAATCATTAACCTCATAATGTTAGAGAAAAAATTAACTAAATTAATAGAAATTTAATATTTACCATAACATATGGCATATAATAATCATAATATTATTAAACTTTTGTATCATGCTTAAATGACATTGTCAACATAAGTGAATTTTCCCACATAGCTGAAATTAAACTATTAAAATATTTAGATGTCTTTTTCATTTAATAATTTTTTATGAAAATCTTCCAAAAATATGTAACAGAATTCCCACATCTAGTCAAAATGGACTAACAGGAATGAGTTTTCTCTCTTGCCTTAAATAATTAGAAAACTAGGTAAAATATATGAAACAACTAATTTCAGACATTGGACAAGTGGCAGTGGATAATAATCCTTGAGTGATGGCTAAGAACATTTTATGTTAATAGTAAATCTAATACATTTTGAAAATTAGAAAGAAAGACAGATAGACAGACAGACAGACAAAGGAATGAGTTCTACAATTGTCCCAGTTTTCAATGCAAGGAAAGAACACGAAGGAATTTAAATGGAAATCTAAAATAAGCAATATCAGTATTTCTTATATAATATAATGAATTACAGTCAATTGAGAAGATGGTTACTTTTTTGGCATATAAATGCAAGCTTAAATATAGTAGCATTCATTTCCAGAAAGCTTATAAACAATTGAATTACAAAGCACTTATATAGAAACTGAAGAAAGATAATTGGTACAGGAGATTGGTTATATGTGAACTTATCTTAAAAGATTTTTTAAAAGCATCTTTTAATGTGGAAAATAAATTTTTCTCCCCTGTTGACTGTCCATAAGAAAGTGGTAGAAATGGAGCTTATCAAACAAAAAATTGTCAACAAGAACTTAAATTCATGGTGAGAGAATTCTTGATACATCAATTAATAACAGGGTAATCTTCAAACGGATAATTAGTTTGAAGTCATAATAAAGGAAATTAGTTTGATTAAGAAAAATTGGAATAGGAAAGTACCCTTACACAGTGTTGATAAATATATAAATGAAAAAGGGGTAAAGGGAGCCTAAGCAAATGCTTGAATAAATTAGCAAATATATAGAAAAGAGAACAGATGAAGTAACAAATAAATAATAAATATAACATAAAACTAAAAAAATACAATAAAGTATATAAGCAATTATAATAAATGTGAACAGGCTGAATCACTGTTGAAACACAAATATGTTTACAGTATATTAAAAGATATAATTCAGCTTTATGTTTTTTTTTTGTTTTTTTTTTTTTTTTGAGACAGAGTCTCGCTTTGTTGTCCAGGCTAGAGTGAGTGCCGTGGCGTCAGCCTAGCTCACAGCAACCTCAAACTCCTGGGCTCGAGTGATCCTACTGCCTCAGCCTCCCGGGTAGCTGGGACTACAGGCATGCGCCACCATGCCCGGCTAATTTTTTTTTTATATATATATCAGTTGGCCAATTAATTTCTTTCTATTTATAGTAGAGACGGGGTCTCGCTCTTGCTCAGGCTGGTTTTTTGAACTCCTGACCTTGAGCAATCCGCCCGCCTCGGCCTCCCAAGAGCTAGGATTACAGGCGTGAGCCACAGCGCCCGGCCCAGCTTTATGTTTTTAACAGAAAACACACCTACAACAGTGACACATTTTTGTTGAAAATATAAAGTACTGTAAAATGATATTATAGGCATGCAAAAAGGAAAACAACAATAATAAGGCATATAGGATAACATTAATATCACAGTGAAATTCAAAGTCAAAACCTGGTCAAAAAAACAAGGGGACAAAGAAGATATTACAGTAATAAACCTATATGCACCAAAAACATAGTCCAAATAAATAAAATCACAATTTCTAGAGATATAAGAAGAATTTGATAGTGGCAAAATTATGGAAGAAATTATTAATATGGATATTCAGTTTAGAACTTATATCTATTCAGTTATTTAAATCATGAAAAAATACTCAAATATTGATTAATCAAGCTCTGTTTTAGTTGCTGGTGACACCACTGTGAATTTTTAAAAAGTTCCTGTTCTTTTGGAGTTCACTTTCTAATAGCAGGAGAGAGAAAATAACCAAATAAACTCATAAGTGTATATCATAATTTTGTACAGTGATAAGTGTTTTGAGGAAAACAAGGATATGATATAAAATAGAAGCATTGTGGTGAATTTGAATCAATTATAGAGGCCTCACTATAGAGGTGAAATATGAGCTGATATCCAAATAATAAGTTTAAAATCATACAAAGTTCTGTTAATAGAGGTTTACCAGGTATAAAGATGATCCTTGAGCTACACATGTTTAAGGGAAGTCATGGAGCTGGAGCATTGTGAGAAAGGGAAAGACTAGTTGAAAATAAATTCAGATTAGCAAGTAGAAACCAAATCACCTAGGTCCTTAGCCAAGATATAAGGTTTGAAATATATTATAAGGGCAATGGGAACCTATGGAAGGTTTTGAGCTATGGAGTGATGTGATCTAAGATGCTTTCAGCTTTTTCTTTTTCTCAAAAGAAGACATACAAATTGCCAACAAGTATAATACTAATGTTTAAAATCAGAAACCATCAGAGAAATGTAAATCAAAAGCACAAAGAGACATCATCTTGCCCCAGTTAAAATGGCTTTTATAAAAAAAAACAAAAAATGATGGATGCTGGCAAGGATGTGGAGAATGAGGAATACCTGTATACTTTGGTGGGAATGCAACTTAGCACAACAACTATGAAATACATCATGAGCATGCCTCAATAAACTGAAAATAGAACTACCATATGATCTATCAATCCCTCTGCTAGGTATATTTTCAAAAGAAAGAAAATCAGTAAGTCGAAGACATATCTGCATTCCTATTTTTACTATGGCACAGTTCACAATAGCCAAGATATGGAAAAAACCTAAATATCCATCAACAGATGAATGGATAAAGAAAATGTAGTGCCTATACACACATGGAATATTATTCAGCCATAAACAAAAACAAAATCCTGTAATTTGCAACAACATGGATGTAACTGGAGGACGTTATGTTACATGAAACAAGCCAGGCACAGAAAGACAAATATCGCATGTTGTCACTCATATATGCGAGTTTTAAAAAAATGATCTCATGGAGATATAGAATAGAATGATGATAATCAGAAGCTGAGAAGTAAAGTAGGGAGAGGAGTATATGTTAATGAGTATAAAAATATAGTTACACAGATATCCCAACTATCCTAATTTGATCATTACACATTGTATGCTTGTATCAAAATATCACATGCACCGCATAAATATGTATAATTATGTATCCATAAAAATTAAAAAAAGAAATCATTTATCAAGAAGACATAAAAATCTAAAATGTTTATGCATTTAAATAATATAGCTTCAAAATACATCAGGTAAAAAGTAATAGAACTATAAGAACAAATAAACTAATCCACAATTAGTCAGAGATTTGAACACCCAACCCTTAATAATTGACAGAATAGACAGAATGTCAATAAGGATATAGAAGATTTAAACAAATTATCAATCAACTTGATATAATTGACATTTATAAAATACTCCACTCAACATAAGCAAAATACACCCTTTTTACAACTGTTCGTTCAAGGAACATTTACCAAAATAGATCATATTCTGAGTACTAAATTTATAGTGCAGTAAAACAATACAAATTTATTCTTAACATTTCTGCAGCTTAGAAATATGCCATGGGCCTCACTGGATTAAAATCTATGTGTCAACTGGGCTGTATTCCTTTCTAGAAGAACTAGGAAAGAATCTGTTTCATTGACCTTTCCAGTTTCGGGAAGCGACATTCCTTAGGTTATGTTCTAGAGAACATGACCATCCTCTACATTCACAGCCAGCAATGGAGTTTTTCCCTGACTGTTCTTCTACAGACTCATCTTTCTCTGACCCTGACACAAATCAGGAAAGGTTCCTTTAAGAATTCATGTGATTACCTGCACTTGAATGTTTATAGCAGCACAATTCATAATTGCAAGGCTGTGGAAACAGCCCAAGTGTCCATCAATCCAAGAATGGATTAATAAAATGTGGTGTATGTATACCATGGAATACTATTCAGCTCTAAGAAACAACGGTGATATAGCACATCTTATATTTTCCTGGTTAGAGCTGGAACCTATACTACTAAGTGAAGTATCCCAAGAATGGAAAAACAAGCACCACATATACTCACCAGCAAACTGGTATTAGCTGAGTAGCACCTAAGTG